TTAGAATGTGAGAATTTATCATACGTTAGAGGTTATAATCTGCATTATAGCGCTGTCAAAATAATATTATATACTTAATATCTATACATTTTAGTAAAGGAATGTATGAGCCGATGGTGTAGATTACGACAGTACTATTCAAAGGAAAGACAAAGCCAGGAATTCATACCAAGCGGTTCTGCACCTAATAAAAAAAGACCATGGGACTTATATGAGCAAATGTCATTTATAGACAAGCATATATACAAAAGAAGGTAATATTCCACTTTTTGTTGCTCTGAAATTATAAATTATTTGTTGTAAAATTATTAGTAATTTTATTTTAATTGATATATGAGTTGCTATTTCCAAGATTTGTCTATTTCATAAACTCATTTCACTTTTATACAAAAACAAACTTGATAAAAAACAATATAAATACTTTCTAATATAACACACAAGCGACACTGTGTATAATACAGAGTGTAGAGTCTGTGCTTTCCATCTACGACACAAGTTGACATAATCGTAACAGCTAATAGTTCAGTTTGACCTGTGTCGTAGTTAGAAGGCACATGGATCGTACACGTTACATAGTGTTGCTTATGTATGTTACTTGAAATCACTATACTATATATAACTAAAAACATTAAAATATTCAGGTAACTAATTATATTATTAGATTCAAGTACTAATAAAAATAGGCTATTCATATATTTCTTTTTAAGTTATTATAATCATTATTTTTATTGTTATTTTAGACGAAAATATACCAACATCAGCAGAAGTGTAAATGAGCCCTCACAGTCAAATGTAAGTTAGTGAAAAACACGCAATAAATATCTAAACTTAAGCAAAGCTAATGAGAGTAACCGCGCAGTTAATAAGCCTGAAAAATTAGTAATATATTAAAATATATTATCCGAACAATTTTTTTATGATAATTGTTCGAACGTTTCGACTCACTTTTACAAGTGTCTCTACGTTAATCAAATTTAAATTTGCTATATAAGATTATTTATGTGATATTCTTGAATTTATGTATAAAGACTGCAGAAAAACATGGACAGAAATCACCTCTAAGTGATATAACCAATAAGGTAATAACATTTTTTGGTTTGAAAGTATTTTGATTAATTTTTAAATATTTAAACAGTTTTTTAACTTTTAATTTGTATGTCAAGGATGATTTGCAAACTGAATCACTTATATTCACGTCGTCGACATCACCCATAGGATCGGATTCAGAAAATGTTTTGATATTCCCTTTAAGCCCTCAATCTACATCATCTGAACAATCAACATTATTTCAGAAAAAGATGAAACCTATAACATCGTCGGATACGCTAGAAAAATCACTTAATATGGTATCTCAGTCTGTATCTGCAATGGCAACTCGAATGTTTCTGAATGATAATGTTAACGATAGAGATGAAGCTTTGACAAAGATGATTTTGGCCGAATTACAAAATACTGCTGAGCCAAAAAAATCAGAATTAAGAAGAAAATTAATGAATGTTATCATGGAGTAGATGATATAAACTATAAATATGTTATATAATGTTTAACATTATCATTTATAAGTATCATTAAAGTTCACGTATTATCCGCGCGCGTACATAGATGTTATAAAACTATATTAATGAAGAATTAGATGAAGCATGTATTTTATATTTGCGTTAAATAGTTATAATATTCTTATGAAACAGTATTAGTCAAATAAAGAAAATATTTTATTTGCGTTATGTACATACATTGTTATGAAACATTATCGTTAAATGAAACATTTTATTTTCGTTACATAGATATAATATTCTCATGAAAGTGTATTATTATCAGATAAAAAGTATATTTTATTTGCATTATATAGATATATAATGCAAATAAAATATACTTTGTTATATATTGTTATGAAACAGTATTATCGTTAGATAAATCATATATTTGCGTTACACACAGATATTTTGTTATTTATATGTTCAAAGTTCAAATTAAAATACTTTTTTTGCGTTACACATATAAATATAATATTGGTAAGAAAAATAATATTAATAAATCTTTATATTTGCAATATACAATATTTTTATGTAAAAAGAAACGTAGTTTCAATAAATAACAGTAATGTAATATTAATGATTGTCTCTATACGTTCCCCTAAAAATATAATCGTATTGCCACGATACTTCACCGTGTGGGCTATTCATCCAAGTAAGTAAGTCATCACGTTGTCGATTAGCTTCAATTGTAGCTCGATGAGCAACAGTAGGTGCTAGAGGCAACATATGATTGTATGCAGCTCGATCTTCCATATTTTCTTCATTATCTCCAAAATACTGGTTTGATAAGTACCTCTTGTTTGTGTGTGCTGATGATAGTTTGGATTCCATACATATTATAAAATTGTGGAGACATATACAAGCTGCAACTATTTTTTCAACTTTATCAATATTCATCCTTATACGTTTTGAAAGTATCCTCCATCGTTGAACCAAAATTCCAAATGCACGTTCTATCATGCTTCTAGCACGCGACAATCTGTAATTGTATATCTTTTTTTCTCTAATAAGGTTTTTTTGAGGATAAGGCTTCATTAAATGACGAGATAATTCAAAAGCATTATCGCCTACAAAATAATATGCTGTTTTCATATTAGTGCCAGGAAGAAAAGCATGAACTGGTGGTAAATGCAAGGTATTATGTTTTATGCCTTGACCTATTTCTGATCTACTGAAAATTCCACCATCACTTTCACTTCCATAAGCTCCAATATCTACCAGTGTAAATTTATATTCATGGTCACATGCAGCCAAGAGAACAATGCTGAATGTCTTTTTATAGTTATAATACTGAGATCCGGAATTAGGAGGTGCTTCAATTAAGATATGCTTCCCGTCAATTGCTCCTACGCAATTAGGCATGTTCCAAATATCACTGAATCCTTTGGAAATATGGAGCCAATCTTTTTCGTCAGGTTGTTTCAGATAAACAGATGATAATACATCAATAATAACTGAGCAAGTTTCAATAATTACAGCACGAACAGTTGATTCACCTACACGGTAATTTAAAGCAATAGATAATATGGATTCTCCCCCAGCTAGGTACCTAACAGAAATGATTAAATAAATACACATATATTATATATGTATATACATAATATAATATAAATACTATATATGTATATATGTATACATAACTATCATAAATAATTTGTCTAGAGATAAAATAAGAAATTAAAACAAAACAAATATATACCTTAATGTTATTAACAAACGCTGCTCTGGTATTAGTGGCTTCCTTAAACTAGTTTTCATTAATAATGGCGATATCTTTTTCAAAAGATTATTGTACACTGCTAATGACATTCTAGTATAGCGGAAAAAAAGATCATTGTCCTTTTTAAGTTCTTTAACTAGAACTGTAAAATCATCAAAATTATCTCTTTGTAAGTTGATAGGACGAACCCACCAACGCCTATTTTTCCATCTTTTATGTTTTCTTTTTTTTTTTAACATAATCGCAATGCCCATTTGTAAAGTTATAGACGATAATAAGACTGCGAGAATTTTTTCATTATCAACTTTCATATTATAAATACATTAATATAGCAATAAGGTTATGATATCTGCTTGAACAGATCGACACACAAATCTTCAAATTCTGCACAATTTCTATAGTAGTATTTATTTCTGTTCTCTCTTTATCTCTCTCTAGAATTACTTGTTGCTTATTTTATTGTTTAATTTATTTTAATTACATCGTGAATTATGATGATACGATATCCTTAATAAAATAAATAATATACGATACACTCTTATATTTTATATCTCATTTAAACACATTGTGCGTTA